TTTTTTTTTTTTTTTAATTTAAAAAATTACATTGAATTTGTTCCAACAAAAAAATAATAATAATTCAAAGCTGTAAAGCTAACATAGGAGCAATGTCATTTTACCAACTACTGACAATTTCTCTGTCTCCTCAGTTTTACTAAGGTTTGACCATTGGAAATTTAGACCTTAATGTTATCTAATTAACCATATAACATATCCAATTTACTGTTCATGCCACTGTACATCTTATCATATAGAAATGTCAATTTTATCCATCAAAATAGAAGGAGATTCTCCGTTTAGACCGAGAATATATATATATTTTTTTAGAATAATTAGACTGGAAAAAGGAACGGGTGAATTTTCAGGAATGAGAAATGAAATAGATGGCAAAGATGGGACGGGGATGAAAAGGCTAGTCATCTCCGCCTCGTAAATATATCTAAATGCATATTCACACGTTTGAATTATTTATATGATAAGACGGAGAAGGAATTTCTTTCTTTTGTGTCAAAGATAATGTTGTCCTGTCTCTTCACATTGGCTCATGGAAACTTGAAATTACACCCCTGTCCTTTTCACACTCGACAAAGATCTCACAAATGAATGGCCTTCAATTGAAACTGGAAAGTGCAGATTTGGAAACTTTGTCCTGAAATCAGCTCACTCAGTAGAATAACAACTTCATTGCAAATCTTAACTCTTTTAAAGAGGAAACAAGACATGTCAATGAATTTTCTATGGCTTCAGGAATATGTTTGTGAATGCGAGCAGTAAGATGAACAGGCCGATGCGGAGGAGCTTGTGTTACAGCCATCTGCATCGGAACCGACATGGTAGAAGGTGTGGATGGTATTAGGATAGGCGTTATCTTTGGTGTCTTGATGTTTTCTTCATTGGTACGAGGATTTTTGGGAAAATCAAAAGCAAAGTCACGAATGTTTATGCTTGAAGTGTACAATATCATACCAGTATGAAGAGTCGTGGTTCCTGACAAGTAGATGAAATGTCATGAAGTCGAAGACAGCAACCACAAAGGCACCAGCAGCACCACCACCACCACCACCACCTTGACATTCTGTGACCTTTTTTAACACTCTGAGGCTTTAAAGGGCTACGTTTTGACCCAAAAAGTGCCTTCTGTTCAGCCATTAGTTGCCCCTCAAGTTTCTTCTGAAGTGTAAAATTGAAATGAACAGCAATCGTTAAGGAAAATGAAACTAGGAATGGAAATGTACTAAGAAATATGATGGTATGAACAAGATATGTGTGTCTGCTTGCACGCATATACATGTATATATACGGAAAAGGATAAATTACGAGAGTTTAGAGAGTAACTTTGTTATGCTTCGGCCTCCTTATATTTTCTCTGTCCTGTTTTTTGTGCTCATCTAGATCGAGTGTGTGTTGTTGTGCGGTTTTAATAGTGTTTGCATTGTCTTCAACCTTAATATAGATAGGGACACAATCATGGAGATGTATTCGTTACTTCTTATTATTATCCTCTTTAATTAGCCCATGTGGGACTCCCTCCCAACAATCCTTTCCTCGAACAAAGTACACTATAGAACCTCTCTTGAGGTCTATAAAGCTCTTGAACAACCTCACCTTAATTGGGCTCGACTCTTTTCTCTGGAGCCCTCAAACAAAGTACACATTTTGTTCGACACTTCAGTCACTTTTGACTACACTTTCGAATCTCACAACTTCTTTGTTCGACATTTGAAGATTCTATTGACATGGCTAAGTTAAGGACATGACTCTGATACCATGTTAAAAATCACGAACCTCTACAATGGTATGATATTGTCCACTTTGAGCATAAGTTCTCATGGCTTTACTCTTGGTTTTCCCAAAAAGTCTCAGAGCAATAGAGATGTATTCCTTACTTATAGATCCATGATCATCCCCTTAATTAGCCAATGTAGGACTCCCTTCCAACAATCCTCAACATACTACAGGTCCAGCGTGCCACTAAGATTTCGAAGACGAGAGAAACAGTTTACCTCCTGAATTCTTTGTAATTTGGTCACTAGTAGTTTCTGGATCATTGCAGCCAACTGGTTAATGATGTTGGTAGTTAAAGTTGGATGAACTTCATTGGCTATCTGCTTGGTATTCATAATTAGGAGATATGATATGATAACCCAATAATTAGGAACTTTGTTATAATGGCTAAATAAGGAAGCTGCTACTCCTCTTACCTGTGTTACATTTACTGGCTGCTCTCCCATTGCAGAACAGATGGCACCAAGTTGTGCTTCAGAATCAGCAATCGCCTGCCTCAGATAAGCTCTACAATGGTTTGCTTGATCAACCTTTCTTCTACAAACCTCTAAATATTCTTGTTCAAGCTCAAGCAATAACGCTCTTTATCTCTTTCAGCTTCACACTCACCAAATTCATCCCATATTATCTGATACTCAAAAATGCCATGTTGCTAAGGACAAGACTGAAGTTCGAGACGAACCTGAAGTTCAAAAAGAAGTGAACCACACGTGATTTCCATTTGCAGAAGTCATTGTGAGATCTCATATCAGTTGAGAGAAGACGAAACATTTTCATTATAAGGGTGTGAAAGCCTTTTTCTAGCAGATGCATTTTAAAAACTTTGAGGGAAAAACCTAAAGAGGACAATATGGGCTAGTGATGAGCTTGGAATGTTACATGTGTTGATGTGTTGAGTTAGACCGTGATATTATATTAAAAAAATGAAAAATTTTAAAATAACTATTATTTTAAAAAATAATAAATCTAGAAATCAATAAAAAAAATTATTGATTAATTTTTTTATAAATAAATAGAAAACAGAGGAATATTATATGATGAAAAATTGATATAATTTAATATTTGGAAAAATATAACCCAATATAAATTATTATTTTTTTCTCAATTTTCATATTTTTCTTAAATTCCTTAAATTATCCAACGCTTCAGATAGTACCCTAAACTGCGCTGTGAGCAAGAAGGCTTACGAAACGCCATAGCCGGAGCCAACCACCACCATCTTCTTTATAAGTCATTAACTCCGGGAGCCTGCTTCCAGTTTCCACCAAAATTGAGCTTTCCTTAGCTTCTAATGGCGGCTACTCCAATGAATTCTCTTTCGCTTTCCCATGTCCCCTTCTCCCTTCCAATTCAATCTAAATGTCACTCTTTAGAACAGAAAACTCTATTCCTTCCACTCAGCCCCCTGACCGAGCTGAACCTCGCAATTAAGCGTTCTACTGCCACCCATCCGGTCCCCAAGTTCAGCCGTCGCGCCACCACTGCCACTGTATCATTTAGCCTCCCGGCTTCGTAGGATTTGATTGCCACTCTTGCTTGAGTTATTGATTTTTTTTCAAGCCCATATAACTAAATTTTTTTATCTGATTTTGCAGGAAACCTGAGGGCATTTCCCCCGATAAACTCCCGAAGTAAGTCTATTCTCAAAATTTCCCCCATTCAATTGGCGTTTTTCTGCTGCATGTGTTGAGCTTAAATGGTGTTAATTGGAGCTTTTTTTGTTGCTTTTCTTCATAATGTGTGAAGGTTATGTTCTAATTGAATCAATATTTTTGAAATTTAATGAGGGCTGATGATTTTTTAGGTTGAATTTTAACTTTAGTCCTTATCAATAAGTTTAGGACTTCAATTTTAATCTTTAAGGGCCTCTTTGGGAGGTTTGCAATTAATTTTAAGGACTGCAGTTGATAAAACTGAAAGGTTAAAATTGTTGTGCATTTGAAACTACTCGCAGACATGTTGAGCCAAGTAGAATGATTTCTTCTTATCTTTCTCCTTTTGGTTGTGTTTCTTTTTTTCATCTATCTAAATTGATTTTCCAGGATGTTAGCACATCACAGCTGTTGAATCATTTCTTAAATGACTTCTTCTTCTTCTCAGCATTAGACTGCCAATTAATGCAGAAATGATATTGGTGTTAATTGGGATTATTGTTTGTTGAATTTGTGATGTATAAGATGGTCGGCAAGAGCAATTAAGTCATTTGCAATGGCAGAATTAGAAGCAAGGAAACTCAAATATCCAAATACAGGCACAGAAGCATTGCTAATGGGAATTTTAAATGAGGGTTAGCAGCGGTTCCAACTCTGAAATCATTTATTATTTATATCTAAATTTGGACTTTCAAATTGATATAGTTTAGTTGAATGCATTTAAGTTGAGAAGTATCTGAATTTTTAACCTCCTTTTTTAAGAAAAAAATAGGCTAAAATCTAGATTGGCTACTTTGTCCCGCACCCCTTTCCAGCATTGTTTCATGATATCTTGCATTGTCATCTGATATCCCTCATGTTCAGCTTCAGATTGTTTTTGGAAGACTTATTTTTGTTAAGAATTCGACATTGAAGCTTATGTTCATGTCAACTCCTGTCAGCTGATGATTATGAGTAACCTATCTTTGACAGTCCTTAGGTCACTGGCCACATGCTTTTTGATTGTCCTTATGCTTAATTGCTACCAAGTACCAATATAATGAAGTCTATAGGTGCATTTTCATGGTTGCAATCTAATCTACTGCTTCAGTGCTTGATAATTTCATTTTCCTTAAGGTATATTTCTTCACATTTTTTTCAGGAACAAGTATAGCTGCTAAGTTTTTAAGGGCTAATGGAATTACACTTTTCAAAGTAAGAGAAGAAACTGTCAAGCTACTTGGAAAATCTGACATGTATTTCTTCAGCCCAGAACATCCTCCATTGACTGAACCTGCTCAGAGGGTGCTTGATTGGGCTGTCGCAAAGAAAGTAGAGTCAGGTGAGATCATTCTTCCTAATCATACAGCAAATCCAATTCTTATTTCTCCTGTAAGTGAATGATGATACTTGTGTTTTCTACTTTAAAGAATGAGATGTTAGGATGAGTTTTGACCGCTGATCGAATCAAATTTTTAGTATTTCCTATTTGTGTTCAAACAAGGACCTAATTGGCAGAGGAAAATGGATGAACGGAGGTTTAGCGTGTTTCTGTCAGACCATTTGACAATTTGGGTGGGAAGGAAGTAAATCAAATAATTTTTCAATTTCTAGATTATGCTAGCTCTAACACCCAGGGGTACATGGATGTGACACCCAATCTAAGGAGGGGTACATGAATGAATTAGGACCACAACCAAATAAGAGTGATCTTGAGGACAAGATGGTTAAAAAAGAATTAAACGAATTAAAGTTACTATACACACCAACAAAGTGCATTTTTTCTTTTGATAGGTCAATCATAAGAACTCTGAAATTAAGTGTGCTTTACTTGGAAGAATGGGTAACCTCTTGGAAATTTTCCTAGGAAGCATGTGAGTGAGGACAAAACATGCTGAAAGGACTCATATTGATTAGTGGGAATAGTCTTCATTCTTAGAAGTAACAAGTAAGTAACGTGACCATGTTGTAAGGGAGTGTCGGGCCATCAAATGAATTCTATGTTACACTAACCACAGTAGAACAGTGAATAAATGCTCTCAGGATGATGCTTGCCACATTTAAGTGGCTGCTACTTCTATCAAAGAGTTTGGAAGCTATGTTGCCTACAGGCAACAAAGACTTGGTTGTAAAGCACGTATTTTCTCATTTAGCAACAAGCACTCACATGCAAAGATTTTTGCTGACCTTTTTCACCATTTTAGCGAAGAATGACTTCAATACATCTTATTATCTATTTATTCATAGAACATGTACAAATGTGCACAAGTATGTGTGAAGTTCTTAATTGTAGATTTTGACCAGAATGATTATGACGTGCACTTTAGTCTGTACTTTTCTTATGGCAGTCTTCATTTATTGAGCCTAAGATATTGTATGCAGGTCAATCTGGGGAAATAACTGTAGGTCATTTGCTTCTTGGCATTTGGTCAGAGGAATCAGCTGGTCGCAAGATCTTGGCCACCCTTGGCTTTGATGATGAGAAAGCGAAAGAGATTGAAAAAACCGTAAGTGTAAAGTTAATTTCATCTAGCTAGTAAAACCCTCGGGATTTGATAATACACTCCAATAATACATCTTTATTGTTCCCAGGTGGACAAGGATACAACTTTCAGTAGATCGATCGTTTAGGAAGATGTGATGTGATTTTCATATTTTCGTCAATGAAATCCTGACAAAGAAATCCCCAAATGAGATTCATATGATTTGGACCTTTGTGCATTCATTTGGTGATATAGTGATTTGCCTGTTTAATCAGCACCTGCCGTTCAACGTAATCAGCTTCATTGGAATTGACTGTTGCTCGAACTTGTGGAGTGCTGGTATGGTACGCTACATTTAAATGGTCTCTAATTGCTTGCGGGACATAGTTTTCTTACTGTGGCTCTTTTTGGACAAGCGACCTGAGTTGAAAAGGGAAATAATAACACTTATAATTAGCACATAAGATTCTTAATTTAATCTTTGCAAGACATCCTCGATTATTTTTAAATTTGAGTACTTAAAATTTTATCTTTGTTTCTTTTATGCTTCTTCATTTATGGGCTCCACCTGCCAAAATTCTAACATTCTTTACATTTTCATATCTCTCACCGGTTTAAGTTTGCTCTCAAATTTTTTGTCGGAGTAAATTCTTTTCTAATAATGCCCTTGCTGAAACTTCAAGTATTATTTTGGATGTTCAAATTGTATAGTAATATTTGAAAATAGTGAGTCAAAATTCAAATAGTAACGGGAAGTCTTAGCAGCAATTTGTTAGATATTATTTGATCAGCTATTTGGTAGATATCCATTATAAAGAGACACACCAAATATTCAATATTTTAAATTTGAACTATTGTTCGACTTGGAGAGATTATTGTTAAGCTGGGCCCTTTAGCATTGTTCTCATAGTTTAGTGCCATATTGAGTTAGTGGATGTAGATTTAATAATGAGTGCATTTTATAGATGTATATTGATAAACATGATCCCCATTAAATGTTTCCACACTACCTATTTCTTTTTGTTGGATTGTATTGAACAAGTTGAATGAAAGTCTGCATAGTCTCATTTTCTCTGAATCTCTTTATCCCAAATGGAGGTGGGGATTTCTTGATGTCTGTTCTTCTGGTTGAATTTGGTGTTTGTTGATAGGATATGATTGCCATGGTGAAAGGGACCAACTTTAGTGGATCGACGTAGGAATAGATCCATGTATCAGGAACAACCATTTTGTCATTTCAAAGTTTCTAAAAGCATTCTGATTCACAGCCATTAAACGAATGCATTGTCTCTGGTCACTTTCAAGTCACTAGCCAAAAACTTGAACAGTAACAAGTTTGTCTGCTTAAGACTTCGCATCTAGTCCATCTGCATAGAGTTTGCCACATGAAGCAAACTCATCTTTTTGACTTTGCAGGAGTTTGAGTGAAAGTTGAATGTGAAATTGTCTGTCATTTCTTCTTTTCTCTTTCTTTTTGATCAAATGGGTTTCTTTTAGTGACCTTTTCTTTTTCTTTTTCAACCATTACCCCCCCCCC